AGGATTACAGCCCAACTGTAGAAAACGGTGAAATACACAAACTTGTAACTGTTTTAGGCAACTTGACTAAGAAAAGCAGGACTGAGAGGTTTTAATGTTATTTGTTTAAACATAGGAGAAGAAATGGATTCGAGCCCAGAAATAGCTGAGTTGCCAGCTTTATCTGTACGTGTGTATTTGGTGTCCAAGAAGAGGATGTCTGACGTGGGGCAGGCCAGGACGGTGGCTGAGGGCAGTAGGGGCTAGAGTTAGATAGAGCTAGGAGTCATATCCCCTGCAGCTCCCCAGTCCAAATCGGGATTCAGTGTAGCTGTGTAACCATATAGATGTCACTTAACTTTCCTATGTTCGTTTCCTTATCTGTCAAGTGAGGGTAATATTGACACCACAGTGGTTGGGATGAGAAATACATTAACATCCAGTGAAGCACTTATAATAGTGCCTGACAGGCCAGGTGTAGTGGTTCATGCCTGTAAATCCAGCACTTTGGGAGGCCAAGGCGGGAGGATCACCTGAGCTCAGGAGACCAGCCTGGCCAACATGGTGAAACCCTGTCTCTACTAAAAATACAAAAATTAGCAGGGCATGCTGGCACATGCCTGTGGTCCCAGGTACTTGGGAAGCTGAGGCAGAATAGCTTGAAGTTCAAGAGAATAGCCTGAACTCGGGAGGTGGAGGTTGCAGTGAGCTGAGATCACGCCACTGCACTCCACGCTGGGCAATAAACCAAGACAAAATAGTGCCTGACACAGCAAGTACATAAAAATGATGAAGCACTTTTGTTCTCCTAGCTGGATCGCCACATCTATCTTCATTCAGATTTCTGACTCATGTGAGTCTAGATAAACACCAGCAGTTCTCTCTGAGTTCCTATGTTCAAATATCCTCTTTCATAATAGATCATCCAGACACCCAGGCACACGCTCTCACTCACACACTCTGCAGCACACCAGTGAGCACAGCACCCCTTCCCACCCGTGTCTGCCTGCCAGCTGCTCTTCCTCCTCTCCCACACACACTCCCTTCTTTGAGTGGCTTCCGAAACATCTCTAATTTGCTATAAAGAGTGAGCCATAAAGAATTTATTAATGATGAAAAAAATCACAGCTAAGTATCAGGTTCTCCAGAGGAAATGAGATTAAAAAGAAATTCTGGAAAATAGTTGTTTTTAGAGAAGGGAATAGTATTGGGAAGGGGGACATTATAATTTAATGTTTCATCTTTTTAAAAAAACGAATCTGAAGCAAATATGACTACTGAGATGCAACAAAGCTGGGTGGTTACACTGTTCACTATTTTATTTTCTAGACTTTTCTGTTGTTTGAAACACTTGAAATCATTAAAAAATAGGAGGTATTTACTGGGGTACTTTAGATTGAACATGGGTGTGGTTAGAGTGCAGTTAATTACTGTGAAAAAAGCAAGGTTCACAGGCATTTTAATTTTTTCTTTTCTTTTTTTTTTTTTGAGACGGAGTCTCACTCTTGTTACCCAGGCTGGAGTGCAATGGTGCGATCTCGGCTCACCGCAACCTCCGCCTCCTGGGTTCAGGCAATTCTCCTGCCTCAACCTCCTGAGTAGCTGAGATTACAGGCATGCGCCACCATGCCCAGCTAATGTTTTGTATTTTTAGTAGAGACGGTGTTTCACCATGTTGACCAGGATGGTCTCGATCTCTTGACCTCGTGATCCACCTGCCTCGGCCTCCCAAAGTGCTGGGATTACAGGCTTGAGCCACCGCACCCGGCCTTCAACTAATCTTTTTAATTTGTAGTAGAAATGAGGTCTCACCACATTGCCCAGGATGATCTTCAACCCCTGGGCTCAAGCAATCCTCCCACATTGGCCTCCCAAAGTGCTGGGATTAGAGGCACAAGCCATGGTACCTGGGACATTTCAATTTTTAAAAATCTCACTGAAAAACGCAGTAACACACAGACACACAGACACACACACACACACATGTGCGCGTGCAAGCTATTGCTTCAAAGAGGATTTTTAAAAGCAATGATGGCTGAGCTAGAAAAGATACGAATATTCAACCTCTTAGGGTTTATTTCAAACTTTATTTATTTATAAAAGAAATACAGAATAATTTTGATAAACAAAGCACCCAATTCCTACTTGTTTTCTTCATGGAAAAAAAGTATGTGACACATACTTGTCATGACCTGTATTCATTAAGCTTGCAAAAGATACTGATAAAAACTATGCAAATCTAGATTTTGCAGTGCTAGGAATGCTGCCATAAGGCATGTGTATTTAGATTAGTGCTAAATAAATTCATCGTATATCCTTTATTTCACCCTTTCCCACCATCATTTCAGCTTTCCCAGACAGTCTGGCTGTCCCAGAAGTCTAGGGGCAATGGCTCTCCATCACTAGTGCCATGGTGGCACCTGTGCTCTCACAGCCTGATATTCTATCCCTACGGTAATCCACTGAGACACACCTAGAACACCGGTGACACAGCTTTACTAGAGTCCTAGAAGGGACGGTACCTGACATGCAGCCTCAGCACCTACCAAGGACAAGGGAGGTTGAAGATTCTCCCAGTCTCCATTTACTCCTTTGTTTTTATACCCATTAGGCCTGGTTTGCCTCCTTAGCAGACTCCTGGAACCAGAAGGGGTGGTAGTAGGTGGGGGACGGCGACTGGAGCCAGGAAATCAGTCCGAGAACTTCCCTGCCCCCTGGTGGTGCACAGAACACAAGACAGCCTGTGTCCTGATCCGGGTGGGACACTCAATTTACAGCCCAGGTGAAGGGAGATAAGTTGGGGAAACAGAGATTCTGTGCACTGGAGCAGACTGGGTGGTAACTGCAGGCCACTGCCTCTGACCCATTGGCATTCGAGGTCTGACAACTATCAGGTAAATGCTCTCATGATCAATGGACCAAAGGAGCCACAGTGGAGGGTGAGGAACAGCACACCCTACCAATGAAGTTTGTGACCAGGCCATGCTAATTTAGTAGTAAAAATTATAAAGAAAGTGGTAAAAACATTAAAGAAAATGTTTACAACATGAATAGAAAAATGACAGAATCTTACTTCATTAACTCAAGTGTTTCATGATCTCTGCCTTCATCCACTTGAGACTTACAACTCAGTGTCTGCTGTTTTTATAACATTAACCCGAGCAATAGTAACATGAAAGTTATGACCAGGAGGGAAGCAGGGTCGCATTTCTGCAGGGTCCTTGTCTGGGAACCACCCCTCCTACAAGCTTCTGAGTAATAAAGGTAGGGGGGCTCCTGTGCTGGGTGCCAGTGCTGGGGCCTTAACTTATGTGTATCTCTTCCTTCTAGAGCCCTGGACTTGGCTAGGCTGGGCTGTGTGAAAATTCCGAGAGAATTCTGCTAGGAGAAAATGCCCACCCTGTCCTTACAAGACCAGCACAAGGCCAGGCTGTTCTACCTCCCACCAGGACCCCAAAGGAACATGGCCCAGGGGCTGAAGGATGGTGTTGAAGGACCAAGTTTTACTTAGATCTTTCTCAGCCTGCCTTCCCCAAGTTTCTATAACTACTACACTGGAAGCTTTCTGAAAGAAATGCCTGGAACCTGTCCATTGTCCCCCCCCAGCCCAAAGCCTAGCCAAAGAACAACAGCCAAGGAAATTCTCATCTAAAATGGCTGCAATCCATTACTGGCCCCTGCCTCTGGCCTGCAGTGTCACTTCTGCACACAAAACCACCAGGGGGCAGTCTGGGCCCATGACGAGACATTTCCTTCTAGAGAAAACCACACCTGCAAAATCCCTCTCCAGAGCCACAGCCCATCTCCACGCCCTCTAGGGGCTTTGCTATCGGGTCTCAGCGCAGCCATCCATTCCCCACGAAGATGCTTTGGGCTGAAAATGGTTGGGAGGAGGGGGATGGAGGTCACCTGTGTTATTTTGGAATTGACCAGGGCCTCTCTGAGTCCTTCAAATTCAACACTACCACAGGCCAGCATGGTGGCTCACGCCTCTAGTCCCAGCACTTTGGGAGGTCAAGGCGAGCGGATCACCTGAGGTCAGGAGTTCAAGATCAGCCTGGCCAACATGGTGAAATCCCATCTCTACTAAAAATACATAAATTAGCTGAACGTGGTGATGCACGCCTGTAATTCCAGCTACTCAGGAGGCTGAGGCACAAGAATTGCTTGAAGCTGGGAGGCAGATGTTCCAGTGAGCCAAGATTGCATTATTGCACTGTCAGCCTGGGCGACAGAGGCTCTGTCTTAAAAACAAAAACATGGCCGGGCGCGGTGGCTCACGCCTGTAATCCCAGTACTCTGGGAGGCCGAGGCGGGTGGATCACGAGGTCAAGAGATCGAGACCATCCTGGTCAACATGGTGAAACCCCGTCTCTACTAAAAATACAAAAAATCAGCTGGGCATGGTGGCACATGCCTATAATCCCAGCTACTCAGGAGGCTGAGGCAGGAGAATTGCCTGAACCCAGGACGTGGAGGTTGCAGTGAGCCGAGATTGCGCCATTGCACTCCAGCCTGGGTAACAAGAGTGAAACTCCGTCTCAAAAAAAAAAAAAAAAAAAAAAAAAAAAAAACCCCACTACAACAGTGCCTAGAGAACAATATGTTTAATAATATTTAAATAATGGTTGTATGAAATTGAGGCAGCAAGGAAGCTGAAGGAGAATAGCTCTAGGGGACGGAGGTGGATGAGCATGCATGGGGGAGAGGCTATTCTGTGACCAGGTTGGGTCTGGAGCCTCTCCACTGTCCAGAATGCCTCCAAGCCCCTACAGCTTCTCCCATATACCGAGGCCTTGGAGATGTAATGCAGAAGTGAAGTGAGCAGGCTGAGGATGAGGGCAGGTGTCTGGAATACGTTCAGGAGTGGGAGAGGAGTAACATAGCTTACAGCCTAGGCAGAGCCGCAGAGGCTACAGATTTCATTTCTAGCCCTCAACTTATAAGACCTCAGGGACAGATACTGACTCCAGCTTGGATGTGCCCTTACCCTAAGGCCACTCACACTTTTTTTTTTTTTGTAATACAGGTAATCCATGTTTATTACAGAAAAATGCCACATTACTCTTTATTGGATGCTAGGGTCAGCTCCGGCCCCTTTCTCTCCAAGCACAGGGGCACGCAGGCAAGGGGCTCCATCCCCCAGCCAGGATGCAGTGGAAGCCTGGCTCCACTACCAGTCTCCTAGAGCCAGCACCCTTCTTGGTGCCTGGGGCTCAGGTCTGTTCAAACTCCTGCTCACAGTAGCCTACATTGAGGGGCTGGGCCTGGACACCTCGCCTGCAAGAGGATATGAAGAAATGGCAAGATGAGCCCCCCAGAAGGGGTCAGTCTTAGGCCTCAGCAACACTTTCTACACCACTCGTCTCTCCTTCCCCATTTCGGTGACTCTCAAACTGTCACTATACACCAAATGTACCTGGGAACCCCAATTCCGGAGATTCTCACTTGGAGTAGGGCAAAGTATTGGCAAGAATCTGCAAGTTGAACAGGTGCCTCAGGTGATTTTGATACAGATCTTGGAGATCCAGGAACATTGGGAACACCTCTCTGTTTCTAACCTGCCTATCTCTGTACCCTGACCCCGAACAACTCAATCCCTTTAGAAAATAGGTGGATGCCTGAAAGGCAGCCGATGCGCTTGGCCTACTTAGCCCTCTGTTGCTGACTCTAAAACGCTGTAAACGTGGTGGCATCGGGGCACTTAGGTGCTGTCCTGTCCATGAATATGGACATGAACTCCTGTCCCTGGGTCTCACACTATAACCTGACCAATCTCCTAAGGACACCTCTTGGCATGCTTCCCTTATTATCCAAGTAAGCAACATGCTTAGAGAACCAGCCAGAAGTTACCCAGTGAATGACATAGTTGAGGCTTAGACACCACCATGCTTGACTCTCAGCCCAGCACTGCTCTGCACTAGGCTGTGTCCCCTAAGTTCTCAAGGCCTAGCCAACGAAGGAATCAGGGATATGATTCTCTTACACAGGCACATTCCTGACAGAAGCAAAGGTGTCATGAGATCCTGTAAGTCAGCCTGGTTCAAATCCTGCTTTTTAGTGACTTTGGGCAAGGTACTGAACTTCTCTGGGCTTCAGCTGTCTATCTCTAAAATGGGGATAAAAATGCACCTATCTTATAAGGTTGTGGAGAAGACTAAATAAGACGATATGTGTAGCTGAGCACAGTGTTTACCACAAAATACAGTTGTCCCTCAGGATCGGCAGGGGATTTGTTTCAGGAACCCCCATGGATACCAAAACCGAAGGATGTTCAAGTCCTTTATGTAAAAATGACATAGTATTCGCATATAACCAATGTACCATTTCCCATATACTTGAAATGATCTTAGATTACTAATACCTAATATAATATAAATGCTATGTAAATGGTTGTTATATGGTATTTTTAAATTTTTATTTTTTTTATTGTATTTTTTTTTCTGAATACTTTTTATTGTTGTTGGTTGAATTCATAGATGAGGGCCAACTGTAAGCCTCTATAAGGGTTAGCTATTGTTATTATTCTCTTCCTCTCTCTAAGGGGTTCCCCGCCCTGGTTCTGCCCTACCATACCTTACGAAGGCCCCACAGCCTGCTTACCTCAGCAACTCACAGCGAAAGTGTGACAAACGTTCATGGGCAAACGTCAGGTCAGATGTCAACTCGTTGCTCCACAGCCTTTCGGCAACAGCCCCTGCCCTGGGCCTGGAGGAAAGGGGGCATGTGCCAGATTAGGCCCTGTATTCCCTGCAAAGGTGCTGGACATCCACAGGCTACCACCTCTTGTCTAGGCGCCCTGGACTAGCTCAGGCCAAAGGAAGTGATCAATACCTTGTTATCAGCCACAGCCAGGCTGGATGGCTCCCAGACAGTTCAGGGGCTCAGCTCCACCTTCATTAAAATGTGGGTAGCAATCCCCACTCTCTTCCTCTCCCAAAGATAGGGATAATAAGAATAAGCCTTAAAGGTATCATTAACCACTAATGACAGTGGCAGCAACAGATGTCCTTAAAATGTAAACTTTGCACACCTAACCATACTTGATAAGGCTGCAGTGGAAACAGCAGAGGGAAATCTTATTGCAAGAACCATGGATGCTTGTGCTGGACCCTGAGCAAGTCACCTGTGTTCTCCAGGCCTCATTATCTCTCTGGGAAGTGAGGTTAACAATCCCTATCCCACACACCTAACAGGTGGCTGGAGGGATATATATGGAAGTCATGTGGGGAGTGAATATTGCACACAAATCTTCAGAAGCCTTTTGCACTGCCTGCTCTCTCTCAGGCCTGAAAGGAGGGTACTAGTCTGGACGTGGCTAGGTGGGATTGAGTTTGTAAGGGAAAACCCCTGCTCTCAGGCCCAACCCTCCACCTGCCCCAGAAAACTCTTACCAGAGCCTGGGGACCAGGTTTGTGTTGTCCACATATTCTCCCCACATACAGGCCTCTCCACCAATCACCAGAGCCTTCTGCTCAGGGGTACCTGGGGGAAAACAAGCAACAACAGTCTGGTGATGGTGGGGTAATTCTAGGGTCCCCCTCAACCACCTTCCCAATGTGGCCCTCACCCCAGCTAAGTTGTTTCATTTCCTAACCTGAAATGTCTGGCCCAGACCTTCCTGCCTCAAATCCTGTGCCCCAGCCTAGCTTCCTCTGGTCAGCAAGAAGAGCTCCCTGCTTTCACCTTCAAATGCCAGGGGTTCCACTAGGTAGAACTCTTTCCAGTCAGGGCCGTAGGATATACGGTTCAGGTACCAGGGAGCAGAGAGAAGGGCCCGGAAGCTGGCCTTGGTGATCAGTCCCAGCTCCTTCGTATAGTTCACTGGAGTCTCTTCTCGCCACACCTGTATGATTGTGTCCGGCCGAATCTGTTATAAAAGGACAAATGGCAGTAAAGACACAAACCTGAGGAGATTCCTGGGCCTTATTCATACACAGGCAACATGGGACAACAGGTGTGTCCTCCCTCTGTTCCCCGGCAGCAAACTCTGTCTCTGTGACTCCTGACCACTGAGCTCACATCTCAGGACAAAGGCCAAGGAATCCAGGGCCCTAAGAGGCCTCCCTGCGGCTCTCCTCTCCCTGCTCCTCAGCAGCCTCCCTGTCCACACAGAGCTAGTAATACCCGCTGTGAGCTGAGGGAGGCAAACAGTGGGACCCACAAGCTGCCATGTCCAAAAGTCTCCAGATGTTTCTGGGATGGGACAAGGTTCCTGCAGAGTCCTTGGATGTGACAGGAGACTGGGATCTTACTGATAAAGGAGAAGGTAGCCTTGCTCCCACAGACCCAGCAGACCTTAATCTATGATTTAGGAAGAAAAAGCCAGCCTATCCAAGTAACCTAGCAGCAGAAATAGTTATTAATCAAGTTTGTAGTGAGGGAAGATAGAGACCCTGACACATAAATCCAGGGCTGATACCACTGCGGCATTTGTTTTTTTTTGAGACAGGGTGTCTCACTGTCTCACTCTGTTGGCCAGGCTGGAATGTGGTGGCACGTCTTGGCTCACAGCAACCTCTGCCTCCTGGGCTCAAGCAATCCCCCAACCTCAGCCTCCTGATTTTTGTAATATTTTTTTTGTAGAGATGAGGGCTTCGCTCTGTTGCCCAGGCTGCTCTTGAACTGTTAGGCTCAAGCAATCCACCTGCCTTGGCCTCCCAAAGTGCTTGGATTACAGGTGTGAGCCACCGCACAGAGCACTCTGTGGCCTTTCTAGAGAGAAAAGGAGAGTGCTCTGACCATTACAGCCCAATCCAAACCAGGAGGATGGGTCTCTGTAGAGGCAGGGAGGAGCTGGGGAGACCAGAGGGAGGTACCACTGACAGCTTCTTCTCTTCTCTGCCCCGGCTCACCTTTACTTTATTATCAAACACCTCCTGCCACACCACATAGCCCTTGCCATAAGAGGAGATGATGTCCAGCAGCCTGGAGAGGAGAGGAGCGTCTAGTAAGTGTCTGCTTAGCTCAGATGGGCTCTAGACTGTTTGTGCCAGTGCTCTAGGGCTTCAGCCTGGCCAGGGGCCTATTCCTCACTGAGCAGTGTCTTCCCCGGGTTGGAAACTGACCACTCCAAACTTGAAGGATGGGACAAAGGACAAGGGAACCCTGCAGGGGCCAGAAAGTGGCTAAGCAGGGCCTGACACTGGTATGGAAAGGGAGGACCCCACAGGAGGTTACCCCCAAGGGACCCCACCCCCCTCCTTCCTTCCTCACGTCTGGATGTAGAAGGACTCCAGCTGCCTGAAGTCTTCACCGAAGCCTTTCTTCTTCATAAAGTCCTGGATATCTGGGTTGGACTTCCTGAATCCCAAGAGAAAATGAAGATTGATCTTTCAACATACTGAAAGCCCAATGCCTGGGGATTAGTCACCTGGCCCTTATAACTTCCTCTTTTTATCTGAAAAACCAAATAAGCAAGGATATCAGAAGCCCTACATGTGGAAAATGTGGCCAAGTAAAGTTATGTGAAGTGGGCTGTTGACACAGGCTGAGAAAGGCTGGGTCTGGACCTGAAGAGTTTTAAGTTCAAACTCCCAAGGAGAACACGTTAATCTACTCTGGACCGCAACATGTGGATCCAAGGTTTTAACTTAAAGCTCCAGCACGCTGGATTCTGGCTTTCCTATCTGCTCTTGCAGGTGGATTAGAAGCCTTGCTGTCTATCACCTGCTGTAGAGTCCTTGCGTTACAATGTCCACATTTTGCTCACATTGCTCTTCTTCTGGAATATTGTCCCCTGCTCACGTCTCTAAAAAGCCAAGCGATTTTCCCAGATTCAGATCTAGCATCCTCTTCTCAAAGAAGCCGCTCTTACCTCTTTTGAACTCACTAGAACTAAGGGGTTTGGATTTTACAGCTGAAAACTAATTAGACACTGTCATCTATTAGTCTTGAATTCTGTGTCTTGACTCTTCAACCAGACACTTTTAAGCCTTCATACACCAGGATTATTTCTCTCTATTCTGAACTTTTCCAAGACAGTTCTGTTTCCAGAGCTGGTTTTTCTATCAATACCTCAAGAATATGAGAGTATGAAGGAAGAGGTTCACAGTGAAAGCCTTGCTCAAATCACGTAGGCTCTCTATGTAGATGGGCAGAGGAAGGCCTAAGACCTGAGCAGTGTGAACCCATACAGACCACTGAGAGCAGTAGCTGAGCTAGGCAGCCCCTCGGGTGCTAGCCTCTATTCTGGGTAAGCAACTGATCAGGCCACAATGGGAAGATCAAAGGGCTCATACCAGCAGGTGAAATCAACCTCATCTCCTCCAAGATGAAGATAAAAATCTGGGAAGACAGAGCTGACCTCCAAGAAGAATGTGCTCATGAACTCATAGGTAGTGTTGAGACTGGGATTCACTGGTCCAAAGGTGCCAGAGGGCTCAGACCCAGAGTAGCAAGGAGTCAATAATCCAGGGATACCTAGGCCAACAGAGAACCCCACATGAATGTCACAAATACATAAACCCCCATGCATAGTCCTACAAGTAAGGACATAAGTCACATAAAGTAAGACAAATGTATTCATAAACATCACACACATTTAGGTAGGCACACTCAGGCACTCACAGACACTGGTAGTCACCACCATTTAGTCACAATAAAAAGATACAAATACATCACAATCAGAGGCAGAGGCTGAGTTCCAGCCAGACAAATGTCAGCATACACACTCTTGCCTTGACACACTGCTTCTAGCAGGCGCCACCCTTGCTCCCAAGGCTGCTCTCCTCACAAGCCTTTCGACAGAAGGAGAGCCTAATCTAGCCAAATTGGCAAAATCTTTCTTCTCTATCTCCTCCTGTACATGCGGTCAACCATTACCCAGAATCTTCTTACATTTCCTTAGGGGCATCTCCCTTGGCCCAGAGTCTTTACTTCCTGATGCTGAGGCCACAGGGTATCTCCAGGGTTTTTTGTGTTGTTGTTTGTTGGTTTTTGAGATGGGGTCTTGCTCTGTCATCCAGGCTAGAGTACAGTGGCATAATCTTGGCTCACTGCAACCTCCCAGGTTCAAGTGATTCTCCTGCCTCGGCCTCCTGTAGCTGGGATTACAGGTGCCCACCTCCACACCTACGTAATTTTTGTATTTTCAGTAGAGATGGGTTTCAACATGTTGGCCAGGATGGTCTCAAACTCCTGACCTCAGGTGATCCACCCGCCTTGGCCTCCCAAAGTGCTGGGATTACAGGTGTAAGCCACTGTACCCGGCCAATATCTTCAGTTTTCTATCAGGCCAGTAGCCCTTTTCAAGCAGTGTTTAACCAGCGTTGAGGGTTCACACTGGAGGGCTGAGGCTATACAGAAGAAAGGGGGCAGGGGTAGTGACTGTCTGATTCCAATGTCGGCAGGCTTGCCTTGGGCTTCTTCCTTTTAGATTCTACCCTGGTGGTCAAATTCCTCAGCATCCACTCTAGGGTACAACTACCTGCAACGGCATCTGAGAAAAATGTGCCCTTACATATCTAATAGTACATATTTTGGTACTAAGAAGCGGCCTCTCTTGCCCAAAGTGAGTTCTTCCTATGTAAATTCCCAGGCGGAAGAAGTCGATGGAAAGCATTCTTCCAAGGACCAAGGCTGGGATATGCCACTTGATCCATAAGCCAGTGCCCTGAAGCTCTGAGCATAAAGCCAAGTCCCTTCAGTCTCAGACATTATTCTTACCTGGTCCCCAGGACAAAGTGTGGCCGGGAGTGTCAAACTCTGCAAGCACACGGATACCCCGGAGCCGTGCGTATTCAATGACCTCCTTCACGTCCTGTGCTGTATAGATGTGGGTGACAGGGTTGTAGGACCCCTGAAAGGCACAAGACACCCTTCAGTTCACATTTCCTGAAAGCTAGCTGAGTAGAAGATACTCAAAATGCCCACAAGACTCCCCAGATATCAGAAAACCTGCCCATAGCCCTTTGGAATCAAGGACTATCTTCAAAACACTTGATAATAATTTCCCAGAAGTTCTCACATCTGTTTTATCTGAGTATCATAATGCCAGTGAGATAATCATGGTGCATATTATGTCCATTTAACAGAAGGTACATAAATAAAAAGGGAATGAAGCTAGAATAGATTATCTCCTAAAGGTCACAAGGCAAAATTATTGGCAAAGTTTTGGACTTGAACTCAAGTCTCCTGACTCCAAATCCAGTGTTCTTCCCCTATGTTAGTCTAAAACTGGCTGGTTAGGATGAGAGACCCTGTCCTTGCCAGCAGGGCCACAGCCAGCCTCAGACATTGACTCATAAACTTGGCCTGGGTGAAATGGGGACATACCTTTCTGGTGAGCTCTGGAAAAGTGAAGCTCTCATATGGGAAGGAAGGATCATCTACCAGATGCCAGTGGAACACGTTCAATTTATTGTACGCCATGACATCCTGTAGGTTGAAGTGCACACTGTGAACCCATCGGTCTCTCACGTTTCAGTCTCAAACTTGGAATGCTGGGTAGGCTCTCAGGCTGCTCCACACACCCCTATAGGCTTGATCTGCCTCAGCTCTCAATTAAGTGTTTGTGGAGACTCTCTATCAAACCTTCCCATCAGGGAGGGATGGCATGGAGGACCCAGCACATTTCTACTTTTCCCAGGACACACCCAAAGATGGATGACAAAAGTGGTCTTTCCTCTTATTGAAATAAATTCTGGCCACATTAAGAGGAGGGCTGCAGCTACTGTGGCACTCTGGAATCTTCTAAAAGCCTGAAGATCAACACTTCCTCTTGCCATTTGTCCTGGTGTTAACCCCAACTGTGAGACCTCCTGGCAACTTAGTAGCCTCTTCTCATAATCTCAGAGGCCAAGGCTGGCAGATGTGTCTCCTCCTTTGGCTCCATCACAGGAGCAAAGGAAAAGACAGACACAGGAACTGGATGGGGAACTGTCAGATTAGGCTGTATATTAAACTCAAGAGAGTTGGAAACCTCCCCAGGTAAGGCTTTTTTTTTTTTCTTTTTTTTTTTTTTTTTAACAGAGTCTTGCTCTGTTACCCAGGCTGGAGTGCAGTGACATAACCTTGGCTCACTGCAACCTCCACTTCCCAGGTTCAAGTGATTCTCGTGCCTCAGGCTCTTTTATTTATTTATTTTTGAGACAGGTTCTCTGTTGTCCTGGCTGGAGTGCAGTGACGCAATCACAGTTCATGCCTCCTTGACCTCCCCCCAGCTCAGGTGATCCTCCCATATCAGCCTGCTGAGTAGCTGGGGCTACAGGCTCACACCACCACGCCTGACTAATTTTTTGTATTGTTAGTAGAGAAGGGGTTTCACTGTGTTGGCCAGGCTGGTCTCAAACTCCTGAGCTCCAGCAATCCACCTGTCTCGGCCTCCCAGACTGCTAAGATTACAGGTGTGAGCCACTGCACCCGGCCCCAAGGTAAGGCTTTGAACATCTCTCTCCTATGACCTTGACCTAACTAAAGTTAGCTCTGCAGGCCAGGTGACTCACGCCTGTAATCCTACCATGCTGGGAAGCAAAGGTGGGCAGATTGCTTGAGCCCAGGAGTTTAAGACCAGCCTGGGCAACATCACAAAACTCCAGCTCCACAAAAAATACAAAAAAAAAAAAAAAAAAAAAAATTGAGACCTTCTCTCAAAATAAATAAAGTTAATTTTGCCAATGAAGCCAATTTCCCTAAACATCTATATCCCTGGAAACAGTATGAACATTGATCTATAGTAGTCTGTAGGGTAGATTTAAGTTACTCTTTGTTATTTTTTGAGGCTTAGAGCAGGTCATCTTCTACATTGTTTCCCAGGAGCTCATAGAGTTACTTACTTTTTTTTTTTTTTTTTTGAGACCAAGTCTCACTCTTTCCCCGAGGAGGTTGGAGTGCAGTGGTGTGATCTCCACTCACTGCAACCTCCATCTCCTGGATTCAAGTGATTCTCCTGCCTCAGCCTCCTGAGTAGCTGGGATTACAAACATGTGCCACCATGCCCAGCCAATTTTTGCATTTTTAGTAGAGATGGGGTTTCGCCATGTTGGCCAGGCTGGTCTTGGACTTCTGACCTCAGGCGATCCACCTGCCTTGGCCTCCCAAAGTGCTGGGATCAGAGGCATGAGCCACCACGCCCAGTCCACACATTCTCTAACTCTTTAAGAATTTGAAACTTGGTCTGTCTGCTGCTCCGTCGCCCCAGAACTCTAAGTATGAAGAAGGCGTTAAGGCCTGGGTACCAGAGTGTCCAGGATGCTAGAGAGTGGCAGGTAATGGCGAGACGTATCCAACAGCAAGCCTCGGTGAGGAAAGCGGGGAAAGTCCTCGATCTCAGTCTTGTTGATAAAGAACTGTGCAGAACAAACATGAACATGTCAGATTCAAAGGGAATTACCATGGGGGCACAGGGAGATGAAGACAACTCTCCGAGGATTCTTAAAAAGCCAATCTGTAACTGTTCTCAGGGTCACTATCTCCCCAAATATTCCCACCTCTATCAATGACCATTAGCAGCCACCTTCCCAGAGAGCAACTGTCCAATGCCAGCCTAATACAGCGGTCCCATATACCACCCAGCCTACAATTTCTAGATTTTCCTGTTAACATAGTTTATTTTCTTCAAAGCAGTGGAGCCTTAATGTCATTATTAAATAATGACTCAGGGGGACAAAACTGCAGTGATTCCAAATAGACTAAATCTACCAAACCAGTTTTCCGCCCACATGTCCTCTTACGTTTCTACTGGGGCTATCTCAAACCACCAGGATCCTAAGGCAAAACAAGATTTTTCTAGGATTCTCAACATTGGGATAAAACCCCTAGGATGAAAAAGGAGCCCCTTTTGAAGATCCATACTTACTGTGCCCTCAGCAGATTTCCAAACAAGCTGGCTAAAAGTCTCCAGACCTAGGAATAAGTAGAGAGGCGGAGCAAAGACTCAGGGAGGGGAAAAAAGAGATTTATCTATTTGGAAGGTTCTCAGCGTGGCAGAGCATAACGTTTTGGTACACAGTGAAAATGGATGTAGTGTAGGCTTGACGATTCTCAACGCTGATGAAAAAGGGATACTGGCTGGACGCTGTAGCTCACACCTGTAATCCCAACACTTCAGGAAGCCAAGGCGGGCAGATCATGAGGTCAGGAGTTTGAGAACAGCATGACCAACATGGTGAAACCCCATCTCTACTAAAAATACAAAAATTAGCTGGGCGTGGTGGTGCGCACCTGTAGTCCCAGCTACTCCAAAGGCTGAGGCAGGAGAATCGCTTGAACCCGGGAGGCAGAGGTTGCAGTGAGCCGAGATCGATAGCACCACTGCACTCCAGCCTGGGCAACAGAGTGAGGCGCCATCTCAAAAAAAAAAAAAAAAAAGGAGAGAGAGAGAGAAAAGAAAGGGGAATATATTAGGAAGCCAGTATCCATCTTTACTCTGTATTTTATTTTTGGAGATGTCAGAGCAAGGGTTTTAGTGTTCCTTCTCACAATATATTAAACTTAAAAACCCACACACCTCTTATCTATATTGCCTGTGCTTTAACAAGAATATTGAGAGGCCAAGATGTATACTCATGAGGACAGACACAGGGACAAGTAGCCTGCAAGAGCTGGGCTTTCCATGGATAACCCTTATTAGGAACTAAGAGAGCTCAGAAAAGAGGTCCTAGATTAAATTACGAGAAAGTAATCATAAGCTTGGGTTTCCAAGGAGCCTGGGTTCATGGCTGGACATAGCATATAAAAATACCATCTACTCTTCCTCTTCAGAGACTGAGAAGAGTCCCAGCTCTAGGGAGCTGGGATGTGGTTGGCAGCAACTGCCCTGGAAGGACTGCCCTAGTCCACTGACACTGTCTTCTCAAGTCCGGCAAGGCCCACACACAGGCATGTTGCGTCTGGAGCATTGTATGTTCTCAACAGCTGGGGCCCCTCTTCTGGAAACCCTGCAGAAGCCCCGTGAAGAATTATCAGAGTCCCCAGTTTCAAAGTGAAAGAATCCATGAGACCTCAGTGGTCACTCAGCACCTGATCTGAGCAGACTGTGAGTGTACTCTTTTGGCTTCTTCCCACTCTGACTCTGACACCCAGCATTCTGGAGTCCCAGCTCCTCCTTTACCCCTAGTCTGACTCACCATCAGCACCTGCAAGAAAGGTGCAAGAAGGCAGGAAGGGGAGGCAGCATACTATTGTTCCAAGCACAGAAGTAGGGGAAGGGAATGAAGACAATCTAAAGCAAGGTGTGGAATTCTGAGAGAATTTCCCTCATCATTCACCAGCAGAGGGTTTACCAAAAGTGGGAGAGGTACTTGGCTAAGTCTGCATCTAGGCACCAAATACCTTCTCAGTAAACCCAGAGGAAGGGCAAGGCCCAATAATTTAGCCGGTAAACTCATTTTCTCCAGAAATAATGTAGTTCTAAATATTTCACGACTATTTGTCTTTTTTTGCATGTATCTATTTCTTTTGAAAGATTAAAAACCCCTTCTGGCCGGGTGTGGTGGCTCATGCCTGTAATCCCAGCACTTTCGGAGGCCGAGGTGGGTGGATCACGAGGTCAGGAGTTCAAGGCCAGCCTGGCCAAGATGGTGAAACCCGTCTCACTCAAAAAAAAAAAAAAATATATATATATATATATATATAATTAGCCAGGCGTGGTGGCGGGCACCTGTAATCCCAGCTACTTGGGAGGCTGAGGCAGAGAATTGCTTGAACCTGGGAGGTGGAGGGTGCAGTGGGCCGAGACTGTGCCACTGCACTCCAGCCTGGGTGACAGAGTGACTCTGTCTCAAAAAAAAAAAAAAACACCTTTCCAGTTACATGTCTTTAGCAAGAGCTGGACAGGCAGTGACTGTGATGGCATCATTCCCCCTGCCCCCCAGCTACCTGTTCCCCTGCTGGCACGTACAGCATCAGCCGGCAAACTCACCCACTGCTTCCCAGGGCCCCTGATTAGGGCAGCAGCTGTACAGGGTGAAACCTGTCAACTTCCAGGGACGGCTGCACGGAGATGGGAAAACACACCAATTGTTCCCATAAATAAAGCTTCCTGGCTGGGTGCAGTGGCACACACCTGTAATCCCAGAACCTTGGGAGGCTGAGATGAGTGGACCACTTGAAGCCAGAAGTTTAAGATCAGCCTGGACAACATGGTGAAACCACATCTTTACTAAAAATACAAAAATTAGTTGGGCATGGTGACAGGCACTGTAGTCCCAGCTACTAGGGAGGCTGAGGGGAGAAGATCGCTTGAGCCCAGGGGGCAGAGGTTGCAGTGAGCAGGGATGGGGCCACTGCATTCCACCAACCCCAACCTTCTCACATCATCCTTTCTCTCTCTCTCTTCATCAGCCTCAATTTGTTACCTCGGAGAGCTCCCCAGACAGTCTCAGAGAGGAGTAAACACTGGTCATCATTTATGCTCAGGGTATCTGAAATGACAGAAATAAAATCATTCGGTTGGTTAAGGTTTTCTATTCTCAGATTATAGACCAGGTATTCTACATAAATCTCTGGATTAAAAAACAGCAAGATAACATATTTTAAAAAAAAATCTTTCAATGAAATGTTCCCAGAGCAAGACAGCTGTAGGATGGCCTGGTGTGGTGCCGCAGTGGGAGGGTGGTCACCACAGTGACTCTGTAGACCCTGGAAGATGATGTACAGCAAGGGTCAGGCTGGAGCGGAGTTCTGTACAAAGCACCATCTACCTTGCCGGTCAGTTTCCACAGCAGAAAGATGAAAGAAGTCTTCTCCTGGCAAAGGGAAAAGGGATGCCTGCTGGGTGAGTGCAGCAAGTGATGCTCCCAACACCTTTGTAATCACCCTCTTTTCCCCTTGCTCTATGCTTCAGCTACCTCCTCCAATAATTGTGAGAAGAAGCCAAAACTACAATGTTCACTTTGGAGACTGAGAAGTCCCCAAATGCTGCTCAGGGAAGACGGGAGGCAGTCACTGGACTAATGGCTTAACTTGATCTCTGTATAAGTGACCAGAACCCCTTCTTTCCCCCAGTGTAGGGTCTATTAGAGAAAACTAGTAAAGTACACTTTCCTAAAATAGAAACGTATTCAGTCCAGCAGGCAGGTGTCCTATGGGACTCAGTGAAGAGGCAGTGTGATGTTCCACATCCCACCTTTAGCAATGGTTAAGCTTCTGCAGAGGAAAAACTCAGCACTTGGTGACCCTCGGTCCCCATGGTCAAAGGGGACTCCAGGCTGAGCATCACAGTTTAGGCCAGGCCATCCAAAAACGTACAGCTTCGGACAAGTGCTTGCTCTTCTAAGACAGGGAACAGGGCGGTACTTACAATTCTCCACCGACTCCAAAGTAGGAAGCTGGTTACATCCAGGTGTGACTACAGAGACAACCAACACATTCTTCTCCAGGGTATGACATTTTCCTGCAAAGACAGGGTATACTTGGTGTAGCTAACCAGCCATTAGAAGCAACAGGCAAAACCAAGGCCCTAGCTCTAGTCCCTCAGCTCATATGCCTGTGGTAAAGGAAAGGGAGGACATGGCATTTGCCCTTGGCATAGGCACTGCCTGATCATCTGTCTAGCTCTTTCATTCTGGTTGTGCCCCTTTTCTCCTCAGTAGCCACCCTGACCCATGTCTGAATGCTCTGGGTGACAGCTCTTCATAACCAGGACTCTGTATTTCTGGCTGGCCTTGGCCTTAACCAAACAAACAATTCCATGACCTCACCAACTGCTTCTGAATGAGAGGCAGTTCTAGAGCACTGCTATTCCAAGTGTGGTCTGTGGATTAGCTGCCAATGTGCAAACTATGTTACTGGTTGGTCACTACATAGAAAGCTTATATGAAGCCTGAAGGGGTAAATCGATTATGTCAGAGTAAACACATTCTCTAGTTCTAACTTTTTTTTTTTTTTTTTTTTTTAGACAGGGTCTTGCTCTGTCACGCAGGCTTGAGTCCAGTGGCATGATCTCTGCTCACTGCAATCTTCACCTCCGGGGTTCAAGCAATTCTCCTGCCTCAGCCTCTGAGTAACTGGGACTACAGGTGCCTACCACCATGCCCAGCTAATTTTTGTATTTTTAGTAGAGATGGGGTTTCACCATATTGGCCAGGCTGGTCTCGAACTCCTGACCTTGTGATCTGCCTGCTTTGACCTTCCAAAATGTTGGGATTATAGGCGTGAGCCACGGCACCCGGCCCTAACATTTTTTTTCATACAAGATTTTCTTGATGAAGAGATCAGTCTTACATTCTGGTACATACGCTTCTTATCTCATTGCAGATTGGCACTGCTCTTGAGGGCTCCAGATGAAAGGTTTCCAGTTTTGTAATAGCCCAGGAGCTAATGGAGCAGATAACAGAAGGCTCTCCCATGCAGAGGAGGCCTGAGATGATCCAGCTGATACCTCAGAGAAGGTCAGGGTCACCAGCCCATCTTGCTCCCTTCCTTCCTTTTCCCAAACAGATTTTCTATCCAAGGTAGACTTCACCCAAACAGTGGGTGAAGTATGAACCAACGTAGTATCTAATATAGCTTTACAAAAATGCCAAAGCCAAAATAAGAATACACTGTCTCTTCTCAGCCTCCCACTGGTTCTTCCCTGTGATTTTCAGGGTGGCTCTGATTTTATAGCCCAAGCCTTAACTTAATGAACCCCTCTCTATTCTATTCTTTCCTGGAGCCATATGCATCCCACTGGCATCACAACATCCATGACATTCCTATGGCACTACAAAGTCAGGGTAAGATGGCCCAGGAGAAGGCAAGGAGAGATAATTCAGAACCAAACTGGAATCTCAAATGTTACTCATCTCTAGACAGAAGAAATCCAAGGAAGCCTGCTCAGACCTCTTGAGCACTACCACATGGCTGTAACTCAGCTCTTAAGTGTGCCAAGAAGCAAGCTAATAAGGCTTTCCTACCATCATGAATAAACACATTCTTTCTCTTACCAGCCAATACTCTGGCTCCCCACACCAATACCTGCCTACATTCTGCAAAGAAGAGGGAATCTGAGGCAACGCTGGGCCAGGTCAACTCATAACTCCATCCTTGAACCCTAAAAATACATTATTGCAACACAAAAGAACAAGCAGACCTTCAGTTGATGCAAAGACCACACTCAAGGCAGAATCTGCAGGGCCATCCAGCTCTCCAACAAGACAGGCTGTGTCTACAAACCCATCTCTACAGGAAGACTCTACAGGGAGACCAATGAGAACTTAACCTAGGAGCAAGGGTGAGGAAAAACCATACCTCATCCTCAGCCTTTCTGTCCCCACTCCGCACATCATGGGGCCCCAGTATCATTGTGTGGAAAGTTCATCTCCATATCTACCCAGGCAGCCATCCAAAAGACAGCCAAAGTCCTGAGCTTTAGTGCTAATCCTCTAGGGCTCAGCCTGCCACATAAGGAGAAATCACAACTAATCCATACGTAACTACCGTGGCTCGCTGCCCTGATGACAAAACAAGAGAAGCTTCACAAGCACCAGGTTTATCTCAGCTATTATTTGGAAGACAGAAAAATACCTAATTTTTAGATTTTTTTAAAAAACTCATTTTTCGGCTGGGCGCGGTGGCTCACGCCTATAATCCCAGCACTTTGGGAGGCCGAGGTGGGTGGATCACGAGGTCAAGAGATCAAGACCATCCTGGTCAACATGGTGAAACCCCATCTCTACAAAAACTACAAAAAATTAGCTGGGCATGGTGGCGTGTGCCTGTAATCCCAGCTGCTCAGGAGGCTGAGGCAGGAGAATTGCCTGAACCCAGGAGGCGGAGGTTGCGGTGAGCCGAGATCGTGCCATTGCACTCCAGCCTGGGTAACAAGAGTGAAACTCTGTCTCAAAAAAAAAAAAAAAACTCATTTTTCTAAAACAAACCGGCACTCCATTCGCTAATCTGTAGTCTTTTGGAGAGTCACAGACTCCTTTGCAGATCTGCTGAATATGAAAGCACTGTTTTCCCAGAACGATGCTCCTAACTTAAGGGCTGTTTCTCCAGAATTACAATTCTTCCACTTCCTGCCAACAATCTCACAGTGAAGAATCTCTGTCTGAAGTTTTCTCAGTGACTCATCTGGGTTTGGGCTGAAAGAAGTAGATACAGGGGCATGGCTGCTGCTTAAACAAATTATGAGAGAGATGTTTGGGGGAGGTAGCAACACGAGAGCTGGCAAAACAGGAGGGACACGAGGTCATTTAAAAGGATGCAAATAGGGTATCACCACCGTGGTTTTCCGCCTCCAAGCTGCTACTTTGCCTGGCTATGAAGAGGGCAGGAAATAGGCAGGGGACAGTACAGCCGCCTCTACAAACACTCGCCCACACCCCGCACACTGAGAAGCACTGACGTGGGAAGCACAGTATGGCAAACAGCCTGGTCAGCCAGCAACGTCATGGCCACATGTGCCATGAGCCTGGCTAGGACAGCAGGAAATTAAGAAGGGCTTAGGAGGCAGCATGAAAAACAGACCAGAGGGCTGGGAAATCAGGACAGGCTACTTCTGGTTCTGGTTCTACTGCTGCCAAGCTGAGCAAGTCTCAGGGTTCCCATTTCCTCCCTTGTAAACAATGGCAGGGTGGGACCAGATTCCAGCTACTCCTCTTCAGATCTAAGACCTTGTGATTTCACAGATAGATAATACACTCCAGGGTCCAATTTCAGGACCACAGCCTCCTGCCTCCAGCTCACACATCTCCCTGCTTTCATGTAAACCCACTCTTCTCTTTGGGTTCACTGAAAACATTTTTTTTTTTCCTGAGATGGAGTCTTGCTCTGTAGCCCAGGCTGGAGTGCAGTGGTGTGATCTCAGCTCACTGCCACTTCCGCCTCCCAGGTCCCGGTTCAAACCATTCTCCTACCTCAGCCTCCCAAGTACCTGGGATTACAGGCACGAGCCACCATGCCCTGCTAATTTTTATATTTTTTAGTGGAGATGCGGTTTCACCATGTTGGCCATTCTGGTCTTGAACCCCTGACCTCATGATCTGCCTGCCTCCGCCTCCCAATTGGGATTACAGGCATGAACCACTGCGCTTGGCCTGTATCTTTTTTTAAATCAAAACGGTAGTATAGCTCTGGTGCGGTGGCTCACGTCCATAATCCCAGCACTTCGGGAGACTGAGGTGGGTGGATCACTTGACGTCAGGAGTTTGAGACCAGCCTGGCCAACAGGGTGAAACGCTGTCTCTACCAAAAATACAAAAAAAATTGGCCAGGTGTGGTGGTGAGCCCTGTAATCCCAGCTACTCAGGAGAATCACCTGAACCCAAGAGATGGAGGCTGCAGTGAGCAGAGATTGCACCACTGTACTCTAACCTGGGAAACTAAGTGAGACTCAACCTCCAAAAAAAAAAAAAAGGGTAGTACACACTATTTAAAAATATTCAAACAGTGCTACCAAACAGTAGAAAATGTTTACAATAAACAAAAGTATCTTTGGCACCCTTCCTTAGTCCCCTCAGTAAAGAGATAAACATCACTGGTAGTTTTCTACCCTTGTAGTCCCTTTCTGTGTAATTTTGCCTTATTCATCACACACAGGTAATCTCTGGACATGGAATTCTTAGGAGAAGGACACTCCTACCACCAAAGTCCTACTGTTGAACCTTCTGCAAACTCCAGTACTATGACCCCTCCATTTCCCTTCTGTTCTCGGTCCTCTCTCATCCTCGCTTCCTTCCCTGCTGGCCTACATGTGGTGATCCATCACCTCAAACGCAATCTAGCCAATACTCTCAACAGTCCGTCTCTTTTCTTCTGTCACAACCAGTGGGCAAAACTTTCAACCTTAGATCAATCTAACATCTGCCTGCTGTGCCCCTGAGCCTGGCTACTGTATTCTACTGGAGGGAAGGGAGAAATATCACAAAACAGGATTGGACCACTGCAAAATCATGGTCCCCATCTTGGCTGGGCCCTTGATGCTACCCTGGAAATGTTCTCTCTCCACCACTGCTTCATTCTATTTTCTACACCTTCCTCAAGTCTACTTGATCATCACCTCCCTTAGGCTCAGCAGACAATCAGAAGACAACTTTCAACTATCCCCATCCTCTTCGCCTCTACCCGCTGACAAAAATATCTGCAACACACACCTGCCTTTACCCTCTCCCCAACCTCCACCTCAATGGAAGGGGTTCCCTTTTACCCGTGCGCTGGAGCACTTCTCGATCCCCTCTTGTATAAATTAGTCCCCTTTTTCCCAGCCTTCAAATTACTTCTTTCTACTGATTCTCTTTCATCAGCATTAAAATGTTTGCAACCTTCCTGGTCTCAACTGCATGTCACCTCAAACACTCACTCTTTTGCCTTCCTGCCACAAAGACACCCTAGAGGAAATGTGGCCTGAGCAGCTAAGGACCTGAACTCCAAAGGGAGACAGATCTGGATTCAAATCTTGGTTCTACCACT